GATCGAGCTATAAACGGGATGTTAATGGTTGTTCGTGTCCTTGTCCCATTTTGATCGAACGCAGATGAAACGGCCGGGGGCGACAATTAAAAAGGTACAGTTTTATCGGATCTCCATGCACGCTCCAGGAAACGGGTTTTAAAAAAAAGGTTCAGCTTTTTTGTTTTTGTTTTTGTTTTTCTTGTTTTCCTGTTCGAGTGGGGTATGTGGGTATCGCCGGAATGAAACTCTTCTTCTCGCGTTTGACATTGCTTCTGATATGACCAAAAATTCGTGTAATAAGAACCCAGTTAGCAAATTTTTATGGTAATCAGAATCTTAAATCTCACGATATGGTGACGTCCTTCGTTTTATGTTAGATTGACACGACGGCACGAAAACCATTCTAATTTTCTAGGTGTCTTTGACGATCCGCAAGAGAAGGTCCTGCAGACAAATTTGCCCCCTAAATTTAATCCGGATAAACATGAACTCCACAACTGTAATCGAAAAACATCCGTGTTTATTTCTGGATTTTGGTTCGGCCGGGGTGTTCTTTCCAAAATACAGATCCGCCTCCGGCGGTAAACGAAATGACAACAATTTTAATTGGCAGGAGGGCGTACATATTCATATTGTATTCTTCTTCTGGCTTGTTTATAAAACGTGCCATATAAGGGAGTTCGTCAACATCTCCTCTTTGCTGCCACAGGTTATAGTTAGGGTTGCGCCAAAATACCCGTTGGTGAAATAAGTCCTCACAGTCTCCCGATCAGCAAAACGTCTGAAACGTACCGCAAAACTGTATTTACGAAGGTTTGTAACAGTGTATTACAATTAGTTCTCGACAAACACAATGAAATTTTCTTGAATTTATTTTTAAGAGAACATCGTCCCATCATTCACTGTACTTGACTGAGCCCTTACTATTTTTCAGATGAAAGCAGTTGGGATTCTGTGCGTTGTACTTCTTGTCGGAGTGGTCAGTGGTTCGCCATTAGTTATGAAAAAAACCAAGTATCCCTTGGGCTCACTTACCACGAGGAGAAATCATCACAAACAAGATATGCTCCTCTGCTGTTCTTCCCCTCCTTTCAAATGTGTTTGCTGTGAGAGGTTGTGTACTAAAAAGTGAATGTGTTTGTTTTCCCTTGATCATTTTGCTTCAATTTTCCGGTAATTGGTGTAGTCAGGACACAACAACCCAGCTGGTAGATCTTTTGATGCATCGGAGTTATATATCACACGCTTATCATCATTAGGATATAGAGAAGGCTAATAATAAAACGTCTTAAAAACATTTTGCCAAAATATTATCATGATATTTGTCACTGTAAGGCTTCTTTAGAACATCTATAACCACTAAATTAAATAGAATGTTATTTGAAATGCTTTATGCCTCTCTTGAAAGTTTCAGTGTAATCATTACTTGAACTGAAAAGCCCGAACACCTAGAGGGTTTTAAAATAAAGAAAGGACATTAAACTAAAATCCTGTTTGAGCAACGTCACTGTGTTTTAAGTCGTTTATAGGTTAGAGTATCCTTCTTTACTGTCTTTATACAATGTAGTGAATATACGCGCGCTGTACCCTAACATTCAGAAAACTGGTTGTCGGATGAGACAGTTGTACTCATGCTTTGTATGGCTTCTCAAAAAACAATTCTTGCGCTAATAAATAGCTAAAGTGCCAAATTTTTATGGTAAAGTAACGGTATTACTTATATTGGTGAAAACTTTTAATCAAACTAAAGCTGCATTAGAGCGAGTTCAGCCCTTGAATAGTTTGTTACCAGTAAATAGAGGATACTACATCGTCGCGCGAACGAGTGAAAAAATTTTGAACACAAGAGAAATTTCCATCCCCAAGTGGCGGTGTAATGTTTTAATAATTTTATTATATAAACACCAATGAAATACCAAGCCATTTCACTCAAAGCGTTTTTATGCTGCAAAAGGGGCGGCTAAGTATTATGTAGTCATAGCAACGGTGATCTTTACACATGCACATATGAAGATATGATGTTTTCGCGGGAAACCTCACCTGGTATTTCATTGGTGTTTATATAATAATCGTATTATTTGAGTGGTTCTCCTTGAAGAGTTATTTTGTATCAGTTTTTGCTTTAAAAGAGCAGGAATTGAACAAGACTTCACTCCGTGTAATACGTAGCTAAGTAACATAAGTGGTGTCAATCAAAACCGTATCAGAGCATTAAGCCCTTAGCCTTCATATTATCTAGTCCTTCCGAAGAGATATTTCGTTTAAGAGGGCACGGATTCAAAGAATCTATTAAGCTCGACAGTGACAAGGCACTGTAGTACTGAAAAATGAAGGTACCAATGCGATTGTAATTATAATAGCCTCAACTGGATTCTCCGCCGGTATAAACCTAAGGCTTGTCGAATTCGATATAGTACGTGGCCGAGTTTACATTCGTTCCAGATGACCGCCATGGTCAGCATATGAAGCTCGCTATAGCTACCTAGTGATTTATTGAGCTTGCTGCTTTTGCTGAAACGAGATTTTCATGTTCTGCCTTCATCCTGTTTCGAGCGCTTTATCAGATGAAACACAAAACAGGCCGGGCACTCGAAGCAGGCAACTAGAAATGGGTTATAAGGCGCAAGCCTAATTTTATTTTTTATTTTTTGCCTTTTTTTGTCTGGTCGAATTGAGCCGTATGTTGATTTCGAATGAAACACTTCATCTTGTGTTTGATATAGTTTGAAAAATGATTAAAAACATGTCCAGTAATATAATTATATGACATTTTAGGATATTTTTTATGGTAATCAGAATCTAAAATAGTTCACGATGGTGACTTCATGTCTCTTCACGCGTTATCATCACTTAGACCAACGTAC